GGACACATGGATGGACACAGGGATGGACACACAGATGGATACGTGGATGGACACACGGACGGACACATGGACGGACACAGGGATGGACACCTGGATGGACACATGGACGGAAAAACGGACGGACACAAGGACGGACACAGGGATGGACAAACGGAGCGACATGGCGCCATGGACAAACGGAGCACCGGGAACGGCGGCAACAGGAACAGCAGCGGTAACGGGAATGGCAGGAACACCGGGAACAATGGAGGCAACGGGAACGGCGGGAGCGGCAGCAACGGGAGCCAGGTTAGCGCGGACGGACGCACGGACACAGGGATGGACACACGGATGGACACACGGACACAGGGATGGACACAGGGATGGACACAGGGACGGACACACAGATGGACACACGGACACAGGGATGGACACAGGGATGGACACATGGATGGACGCACAGACACAGGGATGGATGCATGGACGGACACACAGATGGAGACATGGATGGACAGACTGACGGACACATGGATGGACACAGGGATGGACACACGGATGGACAAGCAGATGGATGCACGGATGGACACGCAGATGGACACACTGATGGACACAAGGATGGACAAGTAGATGGACATGCAGATGGACAAATGGATGGATGCATGGATGGACACAGGGATGGACACACGGACGGACACAGGGACACACAGATGGACAGACGGATGGATGCACGGATGGACACACAGATGGACAGACAGATGGACACACGCATGGACACACAGATGGACAAATGGATGGATGCATGGATGGACACATGGATGGACACATGGATGGACACACGGACGGATGCACGGACGGACATGTGGACACACAGACAGACACTCGGAATGGACACACGGATGGACACACAGATGGACATGTGGACGGACACACGGACACACGGACACACGGACAGACGGACGGAGCCGGAGCGCGGGCAGAGCGGGAACGGCGCCGGAACCCAACCCCAGATTGGGATGGGGATCGGAAGCGGCCTTGGGACATTTTTGGGGAAATTTTTGATGTTTTTGGAAATTTTGGGGTTTTTTCCCAGGTATTTTGGGAGAGTTTGGAATATTTGGAATATTTTGGGATAATTTTGGGTATTCCGGGATATTCGGCGTTATTTTGGGATATTGTACCGGATTCAGGGATATTCTGGGATATTTTAAGATTTTTCCAGATATTTTGGGATAATTTGGGATATTTTGGGGTATTTTGGATATTTGAGGATATTTTGGGATATTCTGGGATATTTGAAATATTTTGGGATATTTGGGACATTTTTTTCAGATATTTTGGAATATTTCAGAATATTCGGGGATATTTTGGAATATTTTGGGATAGTTTGGAATATTTTCGGGTATTTTGGAATATTTTGGGACATTTTGAGATATTTTGGAATATTTGGGAATATTTTGGGATATTTTCAGATTTTTTCAGATATTTTGGGGTAGTTTGGAATATTTGGGGATATTTGGGAATATTTTGGGACATTTTGGAATATTCTGGGATATTCTGGAATATTTTGGGCTATTTTGGGAATTTTTGGAATATTTTGGGTTATTTTGGGATATTTGAGGATATTCTGGGATATTTGGAATCTTTTAGAATATTTTGAGATTTTTTTTCAGATATTTTGGAATAGTTCAGAACATTTGGGGATATTGGGGGATATTTTGGAATATTCTGGAATATTTTGGGATATTTTGGGAATTTTTGAAATATTCTGGGATATTTTGGAATATTTAGAATAATCTGGAACATTTTGGGATATTTTGGGATATTTTGGAATATTCTGGGACATTTTGGAATATTTTGGAATGCTTTGGGAATTTTTAGAAATATTCTGGGATTTTTTGGGATATTTGGGAATACTTTGGAATATTCTGGGGGATATTTGAGGATATTCTGGGATATTTTGGGATATTTTCAGATTTTTTCAGATATTTTGGGATAGTTTGAAATATTTTGGGTTATTTTGGGATATTTGAGGATATTTTGGGATATTCTGGGATATTTGAAATATTTTGGGATATTTGGGAATTTTTTTTCAGATATTTTGGAATATTTCAGAATATTTGGGGATATTTTGGAATATTTTGGGATAGTTTGGAATATTTTCGGGTATTTTGGAATATTTTGGGATATTTTGGAATATTTAGGATAATCTGGAATATAATAGGATATTTTGGGATATTCTGGAATATTCTGGGATATTTTGGGAAATTTTGGAATATTTCAGGATATTTTGGGATATTTTCAGATATTTTGGGATAGTTCAGAATAGTTTGGGATATTCTGGGAAATTTTGGGAATTTTTTCAAATATTTTGGGATATTTTGGG